TTTATGTTGTTATCACTCTCTCCTCCCCTCTTCCTTCCCCACTTCTCTCTCTCTGTTGCTTTTTGATTCACTTTTAGTCTCCAATTCTCCAATACTTCTTCTCTTCTACCATTAAATTAACTAATTAATTCTCCGACTTCTGATTTTGATTTTGATTTTGATTCTGATTCTGATTCATCTCAATTTGTGTGTTGATGGACAATCAATTCTTCCTCGACGCTGCTGGAATCCCTCCATCGCTTCTGCATTCTCCCATGCCCGCATGGCAGCAGCAGCAGCTTTCTTCCGCCATGGAAGTTCAACTTCCTGAGCTCAACCACTGCTCTTCCTCCCACCAATCTCCCGATTGGGACAAGTCCCTTCCCGATCGGACCTTCCACTTCGATTCCGCTCTCAGTTCCATGGTCTCTTCCCCTGCCGCCTCCAATTCCAACCTCACCACCGACGCCTTCGTCATCAGAGAATTGATCGGGAAATTGGCCGCTAATTCCGACGCCTCGCCCACTCTCTGTAATTCTTCCACCGTCGCGGAATTCGCCGCCGATCCTGGATTTGCGGAGCGCGCCGCTAGGTTTTCGTGCTTCGGAAGCCGGAGCTTCAATGGCCGCACCGCCACCGCCACCGCCAAATTGACGAACGAATTCGCCAATTACAGATCTCACCTCTCGATCGCGGACGAGAAATTGAGCCGAGTTTCGAGCAGTCCGTCGCTGAAGGCGCTCGCGCTTGGATCTGAAACGAATTTGCAAGAACACAAGAACAATTCTCCGCCGCTGGAAGAGGAATCGTCGCTCTCGAATCCGGAGAAGGCCTCGTCCAATCCACGGAAGAGAAAAGCGGTTACGAAAGCGGCCAAACTCAAGGAACCGGTAAAAAAAATTAAACGCATCTCCATTTCTTCTACATCTGAAACAAAAAAGAATTGTGAAACTGAGTTTTCCGCCATTGTTGCAGGTGGCTGAAGCTGCAAGCCCGAAGAAATCCAAGGCAGCGGAAACGAAGGAAATCGTGAAATCAGAGGAAGATTCGAAGAAAATTAGCGACCGAAATGTGGCAGAGGAGAAGCAAACGAAGGCGAATTCGAAGCCTCCTGAGCCTCCAAAAGATTACATTCATGTCAGAGCAAGAAGAGGCCAAGCAACCGATAGCCATAGCCTTGCTGAAAGAGTGAGTAACAAAAATTGATTCCTAACAACCTAATTCTTACACAAAAATGGAGGATTCTGATTCTGATTAAGGTTCTGATTATGATTCTGATGATGTCTGTAATTTTGTTGTTGTTTCTTTTTGTTGAATTGAAGGTTAGAAGAGAGAAGATCAGTGAAAGAATGAAGCTTCTTCAAGATCTTGTTCCTGGTTGCAACAAGGTTGGTAATAACATTTTTATTAATTTATTTTTGGGTATAATAATTTAATTAATTAATATTTTTTTGATTTTTTTGGGTCAATTTTAGGTTACTGGAAAAGCTCTCATGCTTGATGAGATAATCAACTATGTTCAGTCATTGCAACACCAAGTTGAGGTAATTAAATCCTCCACTCTCCAGGGACATAATTGCAATTTCTTAAAAGTTTAGGGATAGGTTTGCAATTTAATGGTTGAAATTGGTTTTGTTTTCAGTTTCTTTCCATGAAACTGGCTTCTGTCAATACAACCACAACCAGGGTGGATTTCAACGTGGATTCTCTCCTCTCAAAACAAGTAATTTCCTTCCCCCATTTTTCTCCATGGTTAAAAAATACTTCTACCGCTTCCTGAAATTTAGCAGGTAACAATTTAATTTTCGTAATTTGAAACACGTATATAAAGACTAATCGTTGTATAATAAAAATCGACACTTATTGTCACCAACTTAAAAATACAGGAATTAAATTGTTATTTTAGTAAAATTACATAACCTATATATTTTTAACCCAAAAACAAAAATGTATGTTTTTTTTTTCCTTTCTAACAATTTTTTTTTAATTTTTTGTTGGGGTTGAGACAGATGTACCAATCAAGCAGCTCTTTGACACATGCTCAAATTAGGCCTATAGATTCCTCAGCTTCAACTTTTTATGGGCACCAAAATCCCTCTCTCCCAACCACTTCTCATTCTTCTGTGGACCCTCTTGACTCTGTTTTATGCCTCAACCCCTTCCCCCAAAATCCTCCCCAGGTAATTAATTACCCGAACCGAACCGAACAACTCGTAAATGTTAATTTCATTCTCGACCGCTAAAACCCGGTTTTCTTTCTTCCACAGTATCCAAGTTTTGGGGAAGATGAGCTCCAAAGCATTGTTCAGATGGGGTTTCTCCAAAATCACACCCAAGAAATGTCATTGCAATCTCACAATTTCAACTTAGGTAATAATAGTAACAATAATTATAATTATATTAGTGTATTGTTTTTATTTAATTTTAATTTTTTTTCTTTTATGATGCAGGCTCAGACCAAATGAAAATTGAACTCTGATCTATAATCTATTCATTCAACACATACAAAGAGGCTGCTGTTGTAAATACAAGAGATTAAAAAAGAAAAAAAAACCTCATTTATCCCTAGAAATTCAGTTTGTCCTTTTTTATTTATGGGTAATTTTCTCTGTTCTGTATTTTAATATTGCTGTCTAATTTTTATTTTTTTTTAATTTTGTGGGATGGGAGAGGAAAGTTTCAACTTTTCTTACAACTTTCCACTGTAAAATCTCTAGAAGCAAGTCTGTCCCTTTGGTGCAAAGTTGTACAGCACCACATTGTAAGATAAAAAGCAAAAAGAGGAAAAAAAAGGCTAATTTGAAGGATTATGATTATTATTATTATTATTATTATTATTAGTGTCTTTTAAGAAAAAAATTATCAGCTTTCATCATCCATGGTGTTGGACATTTTGTCCTTTAATGAAAAAGAAAAAGATATTTAATTAAGAAATAGCAACTTCAGCCATAATAATAATGTTGAGGGTGATGTCAAATCAAAGGCTATTTTATGAAGTAATCAAATAGATTTGATTCTTACTTAATGTTGTAACCAGCTGTCTAAATGCACTGTCTGTCTTCCAAAAACAAATAATTTTTTTAAAAAAAGGAAGAAAGAGAAAAAAAAAGAAAAAAAAAGTCTAATTTGAATGATTAGAAGAGATTGGTTGTTTGGTTTTGGTTTTCTTCACCATGATTTCTGCCATATCTTTTGTCTGGTTTACTGTTATTTTTCCAACACACAGAAGCTTCTGTGTTATTTTATTTTATTTTTTATTTGTGGAAAAAAGAAATAAATTTGTCACAACTAATGGGATAAATAATCGAGTAAAGGAAAATTAAATTTGTGAATTTGTAATTGCTCGAAATTATCTTTGGTTAACTCTTTTGTTGAAAGAATTTGGAATTTTGTTGGTTTTGAAATGAAAATGTCTGAATCAATTTTAGCTAAAGCCAAATTCGCACCCATGTAATTGTTCGAGGAAAAAAGAAATATGTATTTTTATATATAACATTAAGTTTAAAATTTTATAAAAAGTGACATAAATTTCAAATTTATACAATTAAATAAGACCCACCGAAAACTACTTTTGTGATAGTTTTGAAAAAAAGACAAAAAATAATAATATTTGTATGAATACATATTTATTTTATGCTATTTAGTATAGTTTCCTATATTTTGTTGTTGAAAAACAAAGTGTCTTAGGTTTTTATTTTTTTATTTTTAAGTTGAGTTTTGAAACTAAAAGACATAGTATACAATTGTATTTTTGGCTTTATATTTTTTAATACTATATTTGTTTGTCACTATATTTTCTTTTATACGTTATTTTATGATTCTTTCCAAAATTATTTACAATTTTCTAAAAAAAAAGTTCGACTTTTATATAATATATATTTAGTGCCAAAAAGTAAATATGCAGTGTTTTTTAGCCTATAACATTTCGAGTGAAGGTTGGAATTCRAACTTTCAGAGAAGTTATTAATATTTAAATTGAGTTATGTTCGGATTGAGAAAAATTTTAAAAGTAGAATATTTCATTTATTTTTTATTTGTATGTTATGTTAGCTCTATGAATGAGTCAATTTTAACTTCAAAGTTTAAATTTCATCCAACTAAAACTCTCTAATTTGAATAAATAGTGAAAATTACTGACTTCAATAAATTAAATTTTTAAGTCTTTTAAATATTTGTGACTAGGAGCATTATTTAGGCTGTATTATACTTTTTTTTTCCGTGGGTATTAGTTCTTTAATTCTTTTGTTCTTATCGACTTGATTTTGGTTCGCGTATTTTCAGCATTTATTTTAACTTGATTTTTAGCGTCACATTTCTTTAGTACAAAATATAAGGATGGGGAATCGAACTCATGACATCTTGGTCGGAAATATGTGTCTTAACTAGTTAAACTACGTTCAGGTTGATATTTTGAGCATCTTCTTTAAAAATTAATTCATGGATAATTTTTAAAATTTAATTTTGAAGAAATTTTAATCATACCCCTTATTTAAATGTACAACTTTTTTAAATCATCAAACTTTGTAAAATAAAATGTAACTATCATCCAAAACTTATATATATATTATATATTAAAGAAAATAAAAAGCATCCCAGGTTGGCAGTGGTGAGATTCTGACTAGGCCCAATGAATCAAAAAGCTTTATTATCTCAAACTTTAAAAAAATAAATGAATAAATAAATAAATAAATTGTTTTGAGAGGAAAGAGTGTGAAAAAAGGAGTGAAGGGACTAGTGGAGTTCAGGTTCGGAAAAGATATATATATATATATATATATTTTAACTTTTCCTTTTTCATATTTTTTTATTAAAAAATAATAAATACTTGTTTTATCTTTAATATTTTATTATTTTTTAATTTAGTCCTGTTATTTAAAAAGTTTCATTTTTGTCCTTAAATATTTTAGTATTTTTCAATGTAATCTCTCAATATTAAAATTAGCTGATAATAAATTTACCTAACATAATATTTCATTGATGGGTAAAAATCGATAAGAAGACAAAAAATATAATAATAAAATTTAGAGAAATAATGAGACATTTCTTCCTTTTCCAGGTACAGCAAATTGGAGATAGGAATTTGAACTCATGATCTTTTAATCAGAGATAGATGTCAATTACCGTTTAGCTAAGCTGCAAAATCTTCTTCCTTTAAATTTTAGTTCACTCACTAAATATTTTGTGATATAAATTTATTTTTAAAGTTACATTTACAACATTAAATACTAAAACATATATATATTAAAAGAAAATTAATATCTGTCTTAGAAGATCAGTAAAAACCAGTTTCAACAGAAGAAGAAGCTCTGTTTTGCAGCCTTTTTATTTTCCAATTTACAAAAATTTAATTTAATATTGAGAAGCCTATTATTGGTGTGCAGATTAGTGGTAATATTTATTAATAATTTATGAGATAAAAGAAAAAAAAAAGATGCTTTAGATGTGGTGATCAATCCCCAACAGCAGCATATATACATTATTTTACTTTTTAAAATAATAATAATGAAAATAATAAAAATAATTTGGTTAAGTTTTTAACTTTTTCTGAGAGTAATGATGAGAAAATATAATATTGTTCATGTGACAGTATTGTCCCCATTACATAATTATAATATGCTCAATCATGTTCTAATGTGTCTAACCCTATGCCTACTAACTAATTATTCCTTTTCAAAATTTTCAATTTTAACCACTCCTCTCTCACTATCTCTTTAATTATTATTTTTATTATATTGGAATAGTTTTGAAACACAAAATACGACCTACTATGCGCAACAACGAGGAAAGGTCATCGCAATCGTCTATCCTCGAATAATCTCGAAAGTGCGAAATGGCCGAGCTATTAAGTTCGACCATAATGATTCTAAATTGCTTCGATGGCCGTTGATGGCCTTGAGAAGGTTAAACACCAAATGCAGTCGTCTATAATTGTGCAATTGATTATTGAAACGATCTTAACACATTGGAGACGTGAGACCCATTGCATTCTACCTATTAATAGAGATGCAAGTATCGGATTTTACTAACTTGAGTATCAGAGTGTTTGTTGTTTTTGTGCAATATCTTCCTCGCATAGCTCGATTCAGTTCACCTCCCATGTGCTCTTAAAGTGATCAGATTTGGATATAAACGGTCCCTTTCAATTCCCATTTCCCTTCATATTTCCTCAACGTAGGATTGGTATGGTTATGACAACTTAAAGCACAAAATATTATTTTTAGTTCAACATTTATAGACGTGGGAGATCGAACCATTAACCTTTGAAGTGATTAAAATAACTTATGTACCGAACCATGATTTGACTAACATCTTGTTCATGTAGAACAAAATAAGGAAAAATTAAGGAAACAATAACTTCATTAATTCAAACCTAACAACACTTTGTTTCTTGAAGACAATTTTATTTCCTATGGTGCTCAGGGTGTTACAAACTATTGTATTTCAGAATAGATGTGAATACATCAATTCAACTATAAGAAAAAAAGAAAAAAGAAGGAAAAATTTTCCCTTAATTAAAAACTTAAAAAGAATCACTTAAAAATAGGTCAAAAATAGTCTCATATTTGTATACGGAGTTGCGTGTCTTTTTATAAATGAAATATCATTTCATGAAAGGGTGTGTCCTGCACAAAAGAAGCATCCTCTCACAAATTCTAGTCATCTCTGAATTGATATGATATTGTTTATCTTTAATCTTTTATGCATCTAATCGATGTTAGATTTTAATTACATTGTTATAAAAAACAAATTCTAAGAACATAAAGTTTGGTTGGTCTATTTACTAATAGTTACTCTTTGTTTTAATAGAACAGCATGTGGGGTGGAAATTCGAACTCACGACCTTTCGGTCGAAGATATTTCTCTTAACCAATTGAGCTAAGTCCTAGTTAGCTATTTATTCTCTATAACCACATTAGCATTGAGTACTTGTTTTATTTTAATGATGTCACTTACATTTTTTTTTGTTTGATTGTAGTATATCGTATATCGTATATTTTTTTGTTTCTTTGACTGTAGTATATCGTATATTATATAGATCTTGATCGAAATCACATTGTAAAATAATTGGCACCAAGGTTTTAAATGTCGAATTCGATAAAAATGTCAAGATCTCAATTTTATGGAAATGTCGATGGAAATATCGATAAAATGTTGATGAATAATTTTGAAAAGATTATAAAAATAAAAAAATTGTAACAAATAACTAAATTAACAAATAAGCATTTCAACTATTTTTAAATATGTTAAAAATGATTAATTAATATTATGTTGATATTTTTTATTTTATCGATTTTTTCGCAACGCTATAAAAATTTCGATTCATCTCATATTGACATAAAGTTCATAGACATATAGAAATGTTAATGAAAATGTCGACAACTGCTTTAATGGGCACATATCACTTTTGTATCATCAAATAGTAATCATGTCCCTAAATATAGATCACATCTAAAACTTTTCTTCAAACAATCTTTCTATTTGTTATATAAAATAGATATGAATGTTTACATTTTAAGAAATATATATTTTTGTTCAACATCCAAAAGTTGTTTTATCCTTGGTTCATTTTAGTCATCGTGTTTTGAAAATGTTCATTTTGGTCCTTGTACTTTTAAAAAGTGATTATTTCAGTCCCTTTTCGCAAGATTTTAACACAAATTTTATACAAAACAGAAACTATTTAGTATAGAGTAATGCTTACATTTTAATAAATTGATCGTAATGTGGTGTCGAAATTGTAATAGAAAAAATGATATTTAAAATAAAACGAAGGGACCAAAATGACCACTTTTTAAAAGTGTAGGGATCAAAATGAACATTTTCAAAGTATAGAGACTAAAATGAATTAAAGTTGAAAGTAGAAGGACCAAAACGAACATTTTAGAAATATAAGGACTAAAATGAAACAAAGGTGAAAATTACAGGGACCAAACTGGTATTTAACCTATATTTATTTTTTTGATAAATATTTTAGGCATTTTAAAAATAAAAAAAATACATTTTTCTATGTTTTGGAACAAACTTGAAAATAGAAACACAAGAAATAAAAAACATAATTTTGGTGTTTTACAAATTTCTACACAATTTTGGAAATCACCTTTCTTTAAAAATATATATATATATATATAAACAGTTTCAAACGTCTTATGTTTCTCAAAAATTGGTTACGAGAAACAAGAAACAAGAAATAGAAATGTTACCTAATCAAATTGAAATTACTTGTAAAAATAAAGAGATGTTTGACAATGTTTATCAAACAACCTTCGATGTTTATTAAGGTCGAGTTTTGAGTTCTCAGTAATTTATCGGATAAATTGATAAATAGGCAGTCCTCATTTAGTTGTGTATTTCTATGTTTTGTTCATCTCCCGTACATTTATAGTACCAAACATCACACTTTTTTCTTTCTTTTTAATTTATCAAATGAAGTATTTGTTTGAATTGAGTTTTTAAAAATTTTTGTAAATTCTTCTTTTAAAGGTATCTATAAACTTTTTTTTTCCATTCAAAGTATAGATTTTGCTTGTATTTTTAAATTGATGAATTTAAAAATATCAATGAAGTTTAATAATAGTAAGTGTAAAGCATTTAATTAGTTAATTTCTAGACAATATTTATCAATTTTACATTTTCTATTTAGTTTCTTATTTAGATTTGGTATATTTTTTTTTACAAAACAAACAATATCAAACAAAATAGTTAAATTTGTTGTAATTTACTCATCAATATTACTTTATTTAAATGTTTCATGTAAAAAGGAATACACGTCACGTTAATATGTTTAAAATTAAATTTATTTGAATTTTCCCCTAGATTCACCATTATTAGTCACATTTTATGTTGCATGCATGCCTTGATAGTGGCTTGTAGCGATGGGAAAAATCACTCACTCCCATGATACAAATAAGCAGAAAAATAACTGAGAAATTTAAAGAAAGCAATAAAATAAGAAAACACAAAAATTAACATGTAAAATTCTAAACCGGAGAAAGAACTACGAATCATTAAGGAAAATCTACTATGTGAAGAATCATTACAATCACACAAATTTCTCTCCCCGACTCCAATTATACAAAAAACTCTCTCGAAGAAAATTCCGCTCAATTAACTAGAGCTATGTTGGGTTTGTAAGGTGAATACAAACAAAGTCTCATATTGATTAGGGAAGAAGGTGATAATGGACATATAAGATAGGACAATTATGTCCATTGGTTTTATGCCTTTTGGGTGAAACCAAAAGTAAAGCCGTGAGGGCTATGCCAAAAGCGGACAATATCATACTATTGTGGAGATACGTGGGGTACTTGAGGTACCGTTGTCCTTAACAARTGGTATCAGAACCATGTTCTAAACCTAGCTATGTCGATGAAATCCTCGAGTACCGAACAAAGAAGTGGTGTGCCTCAGAGGTGTAGTCATGGTGTAATCCGTGGGTGCGCTCTATCAAAGTATGGCGGAAGCCTTGGATAAGAACAAACTCTCGTTGAGTTTCCGAGAGGAGACAGATGAGTGACTACTTCAGAAGAAGCTTGGTGGTACTTTGTTCGATAGGAGGAATGTTGAGTTTGTAAGATGAATGCAAACAAAGTCTCACGTTGACTAGGGAACATCTCCATTGGTATGAGGTATTTTGGGTGAAACCAAAAACAAAACCGTGGACAATATCATACCATTGGACCACACACTCCCTCCTTGCTTTTTCAATGGGAGAGACAATTGCACTTCTACTATATTTTGCAAAAACCCAACATATAGTGATGTCCTGACACTTAGGATAGGTCGACGCCACAATCGAATAAGTAGAAACAAAATATAACGAAGAATGGTGGTACTTGTATTTTTAGCTTTGATTTATTTTGTTCCATATACTTTCAAAGCCTTTATTTTGGTTCTTGTACTTCTCACTTTTGTTGATTTTTGTCTCTATAGTTTCAAAATGTTCCTTTTATCCATATACTTTTAAAAAGTGACCATTTTAATCCATATTTATAAAATTTTAACATAAATTTTATATCCAATGGAAATCCTTTAATACAAATTAATAGTTACATTCAAGAAGTGATCAAGTGTCATGCTAGAATTGTGATAGAAAGAAAATTAGATCAAATTGAAAAAATGAATAGACCAAAATTGTCACTTTTTAAGAATACATGAACTAAAATAGACATGTCAAAAGTATAAGTGGAGTAAAATAAACAAAAGTTAAAAGTAAATGAACCAAAACAGACGTTTGGAATAGTAAAAGTATTGTTCTCGTTTTCAAAAGTACTAAGGAGTAGACTTGATGTCAACACGAACATAGTTCAAACAGATTAAAGAACTTGTGCGGATCAGAAAAATCGTAATAAAAACAAAACGGAGTAAACTTCATGTAAAAAGAAAAAATTCCATCCTTTATTCCTTATGCATGGCCGGCGGGTTTTTTTCTCATTTTTTTTTTCAACTTTTAAAGCCTTTTCTATAGAAATATTTTAGGCG